GACACGACACGACACGACACGACACGACACGACACGACACGACACGACACGACACGACACGACACGACACGACACGACACGACACCGACACGACACGACACGACACGACACGACACGACACGACACGACACGACACGACACGACACGACACGACACGACACGACACGACACGACACGACACGACACGACACGACACGACACGACACGACACGACACGACACGACACGACACGACCCGACGCGACGCGACACGACACGACACGACACGACACGACACGACACGACACGACACGCACGCACGCACGCACGACACGCACGACACGCACGACACGCACGCCACGCACGCCACGCACACACGACACGCACACACGCACACACGACACACACACACACACACACCACACACACACACGCCTTCAATCATTGTTTATACATATTACAATTATGTATGTCTATATATGTCTATATATATATATATATATGTAGTACACCTATACATGTATGTTTCGATGTATGCACTATGTGATATACATAGTTATATTTATACACAATCATGTATAACTTGTTATATACACTGATACGCATGCACCATCCACCAATGTCTGTTTCGCATGGCCCAGGGTGCCGTTTCGCAACAGGCTGAAGCTCCACCTTTGGCATTGCCGGGGTCCGCGCAGGCGACGCGTCCGATTGCATCCGCCGGTCTGCATAGGGAGGTGGTTCCCTTTAAACCAATCTCAAAGGCCGTTCATTTTTGTTAGTGGCTGCAAACAACAAAGTGGTCTTCCTCTGAATTCCTCTTCCTCTTCTCAAGGTGTCTGACGGTTTTTTCTCGACAACTGCGGCCAGGCGTGTCTGTCGGAACGAGCCTCGCCCAGCCAGGACCAGGCAAGTGTTGCTTATCCGTTTGGTTTGGTGGTTTGGACGTTAGCCCAGTTGCACCCAGTGGATTCCGCCAATTTGTCCTTCTTTTTTGGGTAAGGGTTCCCCATTGAATATTGAAACTCAACCAAAACAAATCGGATGCCGATTCATTTTTCCCCATGGAAATCCACTGGGCATCTGAGTTAGGGGCAAGTCATTGGGTTTCAAAAGGAACTTCAAGTCCCAAACCACCAATGCAGAGTGTTTGGACTCTCCAAAGTGAACAAAGCGATTCACTGGATGTCAGCAAGGAAAATGGAAATCCAACTTGAGGCAAATCCACGAGCCCTTTTCGAGAAGTCGGGTTTGGATGGGGCGTTGAATCCCAGTTCCTTCTGCCAAATGAAGATGCCAGATCCAGAGGCTTTGGTTGCCTGGGTCCCCCAGCGATTGGTGCCTTTTACAACTTGTTTTGGTTTGGGAGGGTTTTTGTCTACTTAAATAGACTACAGAAAAAAAGTTGGTACCCGTATTCTAACCTCTCAAATCTGGAGGACCTAGTTGCATACCCCACACTCCTATGTTGGAACTCTGGTTGTTCCGAGTTGGGATATTCTGGCGAAAGGGAGTCACCATAAGTGTCCTTTTTGGTTGGTTTGGTTGAACAATAGAGGGCGATTCCTGGTTTACCTGGTGGTTGAATCATCTAGGGTCATCTATTGTCCAAAAAAGGGCAACCCAACTAAATGGAGACTCTTTGTCAGGTCCCTGAAGAACCCGTCTTTTGACTGTTCCAGGGTTCCAACCAATCCGTTTTCAGCCCCTGGACCTCTCGCTTGGTTTCTTTGGGGGGGGTCCTCCTTTCCAACAAAGATAGGCCCAACAAATTGGACATCCCCATGGCTGAGATATTGTGTTCCTTCATGTTGCCCTTTTGCCCTGTTGTTTCTTCGATCCAATACGGAAGAGGCCAAGTTCTAAGTAGCGAAGGCAACTTGGCTTGGCGAACCCCAAGCCGCAGCCTCACAAACAGGGGAGAAATCTATTCGGTCAAGTTCCAAACAAGACGTTCGCGTTTGGTCTGGCAAAGGCTTTTGTCGGTGCGTTTTTCACGCCAGGAGCTTGACAGCAGTGACGAGGATGCGGAGGCCGGGTTCTGCTCGCTGCCCCAAAATCTCCGGCTGTTGGAACGATGACCTGAAGTTCCATGGGGTTCGCAAGTAAGGTTGACATTTCAATGAACCCCAGTTGATTCATAGGGGCCCCTCCAAGAGTGGTATGGTTCCCACTAAACGGGCTTTGGATGCTCAACTCACCTGTTCAGAGCAAATGGTTGTCGGAGCCTGGCAATTCTCGAGAATGGTCTCAGCAGACATGAGTTTTTTGTTTTTACGTGGAACCCTACCGGCAAAAGGTCTTTCCTGTTTGGTTTTGAAGGGAAAGCAAAAGAAGCCACCGAAGCGATGGGGGGTCGTAGTTTCAACTGACGAAAAGATGAAATGTAGCAGGGATCTGGGAACAGCCCAGATTTGCTGGACAGAACCACTAGCGTGTCCCGGATTTGTTAGACGGCCACCTTCACTGGCCAGTTAGCACGGATATGGAAGACCTCCAATCATCCCTCGCAAGGATTGTTTGCTTGGAGGGGGCAGAAATTCCTGTCTCCCTTAACGGGAACCCCGGAGTCATAAATGCCTGGTTTATTAATAGGGGGGTGTCCCCTTTTTGCGGGATTTTGAAGGGAACACCCCCGGTTAATACTGTGGATGGACGAAATCCTGCACCACTTTAAAACCATGGGAAACCACTGTTTGTTGGTATTTACAAGGGAATCATCATTCTATGGTTTCTCAGGCCTCCATCCACAGTAGGACAGGTGTATCCGGGGTCGACAAACCAAGACAGGGCAGGTGGAAGGTAAGTGGCTTCTCTCTAGGATCCTGTGCTCAGTTCCTTGGTGGCACCCGCCAAATCTCCGCTTGATGGGGAACCCACACTGCAAAATTGTCCTGGCCCAAACAACAATGGGCCACTTTTTCCGCAGAGCGGTTCACTGGCCGGTTAGACTGGCTTCCCAGTTTTGGGCCATTCGCGGTCCTGCATGGTCCCCTAAAACGGGTTGGAATTCTTGTGGCTTCAGGGGGTCCACAACTTTTTGAGAAGCACGCGTTTTTGGGCAGAGGAACCCTTGAATTTGATGTAGGTTTACAAGGAAACCCCCAAAAAAACATCCAGGAATTGAAGAATTCATGGTTGAAAGCGGGCAGAGCAACATGTTGTTGGCCCAGGAGCAGTTTGGCACGGGTCAACTACCAAAAAAAACAACATAATGCCCAACTATCAACAACATGATGGTTTTTCGTTTGGTTGGTTTTCCTCTAAAAGGACGCACCAAAAAGGGGTACCAACTCCAACAAAACGTGCCACGCAGATCGAGTCACTCTGTGAAGGTTGGTACCCCAAGCCTTTCTGGAGGGCTGCTTGGCAGAGTTGTCAGTCCATGGGTCCTTTCAAACTGGCGCATCCCCCTTGCTTCCATTTGCTGAAAAGAGTATGTTTCACCTGGAAAGATGTATTCACCTCTGAAAGAATATGTTTCTGCCATTCGCATCTGCCTGTTCCCCGTTTTTTTTTTTTTTTTTTTTTTTTTTTTTAAATATTTTGTTTCAAGGGAATCGATTTCACTACTAGACAGATTTTCTCGTTGTTTCCAGGGGGCTTATATAAGCAAATGGAAGCTTCGGGCGGTGGAAGCGGCATGAGGGTCCAAGGGCCAAGCGGCCAAGCGGCCTTCTTCGGGTCTTTGGCTTGGCTTTTGGCAAGAAACGCAAGCCACGCGACGGGGCAACAGGGGCCGCAAGACTTCCATTTGCTTAAGTGTTGTTGTTGTTTTTTTTTTTTTTTTTTTTTTTTTAAATATATATATATATATATGTATAAATTACATATAATTTCCCTTGTTGGCTGAAAATGATTTTATCACTGCTGGACTTTTTTTTCCAGGGGTCTCAGCCAAATGGAAAAAAAGAAGCAACCAGAAGCAAAGAGTTCAGCTGCGAAACTTGGTTGATGTTCATTGGGGGTACGGAATTTTGGATTTTCGCCCATGGCCAAATCAATGCAATAGAACATCGCGCAGGCGCATACAGTGTGTCCCGACACGGAAACTGAAACTTGACCTCATACAGTGTGTCCGGCGTCTGGCGCAGCCTCCGAAGGTTTAGTTTATGGACGGCATGGCAGTGCTCGCCCCCAAATGTGTGTGTGTGTGTGTGTGCGTGTGTGTCTCTTTTCGGGGGTACCCTTTGCGGGCTTGGATCAAGGGAAACCCCCAAGAAAAACATCCATTGCTTAGAAAGAGTCAACACATCGTTGTCTTAAAGGGGCGGGGTACTTATGCACACAGTGCTTTCTGAGAATTGTGACTCATAGCCCACTTACCCCACGGTTGTAAGTCCCCCAAGTCAAGCAGGTCATGGCCATGGTTGCTAAACACACTCCGAAGTACCCGGTACATTCATGCAAGTAGTGCCTTCATGACCTGTCCTAGACCCGGGCCCAAAGCTACGGAAGTCGGAGGCAGAGGTTTTTGGTGAGTCCTGAGCCCCTTTCAGCTTGAAGCAACTATCCACACCTACAACAGGTGATCAAGCTGCTCAGGGAGGCTTGGAGCTTGCTCCAGGGATATGTTATTTTCTTTCAGGCCGGGACTTGGGCTTCTACGAGCGGCATCTTTAAATACAACGGAGGCTTCGTTTGCTTGTTAGGAACGTGGACCCTGGCCCCCGAATGCGTTGCTTCCTGGGGTTACAAACCTCCATGGAGTTTGCCGGGTTTATGACCCCCAAAATGGTGGATTTCCCTTCAACACAACCCAAAACAGGGAGCACCCGCAAAGACAAGGCGCGCCCGTCTTTCGGCTGTTTGGTTGGATCGTTGGACTTTGTCGAAACAGGTCGGATGTTCCATTGGACCCAAAGAATGTTACTCACTTTTTGCGGACGAACAAAACAGCAACCAAGCCTTGCTTTATGTTGCTTAAGAATATGTTATATTTCCCCCTGTTGGCTTTAAAGGGAATCTATGAATACTGGACATATGTTTCTTTTTTTCCAGGGGTCTCAACCAAATGGAAGGATCGCTTCTTGTTTTAGTCCCCGGTATCTTCCATGGCCCCATGGTGCTGGAGCTCAGCTCGGACAGCGAGTGCGAGATCCTGGAGAGGCCCCGCCGGAGGCGGGGCCCCGCGACTTTTTTTTTTTTCTTTCGGGGCGAGGCTGAGGTCACCAAGAGGGCGAGAGGTCAAGCCTGGAGGATTAGAACCTGGCGGATGACAATCTTCCATTGGCTGAAATGAATATGTTGTAAAATGTTCTCCCCCGTTGGTTTTAGCGGGGATCCATCACTATTGGACATAGTGTTTTGTTGTTATTGTTTTTCCCGGGGGGGCTGAAGCAAATGGAAGCAATTGGGCCCCGGCCTTTTCCCCGCCAATAAAAGAAACAAACAACGATCCGGATCCGCATCCCTGCCAGTAAGCCTGGGTTCCCGCATAAATATGTGTATACATATATATATATATATGTACATGTATAGCAACACGGAAGGCAGATAGCCAAAGTTGAGGCCTAAATGAGACCTCCGATTTTTCGGCTCGGGATCCGGACGCCGGCGAGGTGTCATTGGCTCGAAATTAGGGGGCCCTTTCCGGGGCAAGCGGCGCAAGGTCCAAAAAAGGGAACCCGGTTGACCAGGGAAAGAGCGAGGCTTGGAACACTTGCTAGGTTTCCCAGTAGTACCCTTTTACCCTTTTTTGGGGGAGGGTTCCCTTACTAAAATAGACTACAGAAACAAGGGTACCCTTATTCTAACCTCTCTACTGGACCTAGGTTGTTGGCCAAAGAAGAGTAACCTTGCGCGAATGATGCGTCTTGTTTGCAGATGCGCCCGAATGACCCGCATCTTGGCAAGCTGTTCGCTTCGTCGTAGTGGCTTTCTGCCACTTGTAGAATCGCCAGTCACGCGGAATTATCCTCGGCTGTTCTGACTTCGATAACGCAAACCTCTCCGCTGCAGTCCTTGTTCTTCTCATTTGATGACCGCCAGAATCCTCGGCATGCATCTGTGCAGACCCTGAAAGGGTGGTTCGTTTACTCATCGGCCACCGAAGCATGGATGGAAGAAAAACCTCCACCCATTCCTTGAAGGATTCAATCCCATACGCTTGCCTCACAGGCAAAAAGAAATGGTTCCGACTTCTTCCCGCCGAACGCGGGTCCGTTTGTCACTGTGTTTGTTTTCCAAGCGGAACACCGAACATTGGTGACTTTCCTGTTTCCCTTTCAAAGAAGTCAAGAAAGGCAACTTTCAAAGACAGGTGCGCACACACACACATGCATATGATTGGTATGTGTCAACATCGGCGGACGATGGTGGCGTGCCTTTGGTTCCCTCTGTAAGCAAGAAGCCTCGTTATAGGTTTCCAACGTGGATTCTGGGCAAACAGAGTGGACTGGCCGAAAAAAGCCGATTCTGTGCCGTCCAGGTGAGCTCCAAAGAGGGGAACGGGAAGAATGGGCCTTGCACTGGGAATCAATGGGTTCCAAGTCTTTTCGTTTGTTTTCTCACTGTGCGTCAACTCCCATGTTTTCGAGTCTCCTTCTTTCCCATGTGGGACTTATTTGTCTTCTGCACTGTACAGGCAGCCTGTTTCCTGCAAAGGAGCTGATATTACAGGCTTGCAACAGGAACCTAAACATCTAAAAAGGACACCTGTTCCCTTTTGCAAGGGCACACCATCAAATTTAGTGCGATCCAACTGTAGTTCTTTATGGGGGCGGAACAAAGGGTCCCGACCTGCTTTCTAGCACGAGCAAGAGGCTCCTTGGGCACTGAATTTCACCAACTCCTCCTTTTGAAGCAATACTTTGGTGCATATTGCCAAGGGATGTTAGGACTTTTTTTTTGCAAATGGGTTTTATAATTAAACCGCTAAAAGGTTAGCATTTCGCAGGGGAGCAGATGCCGCAACCGAGAATAGATGGCTTTGGCCCTAGCGGGTGAGAGCTTCTACGCCGCCGCCGCGGCCTCGCGCCAGGGCCAAACCAGGCGCCCCGAGCCTCGAAGCGGTGCGAAGCCACGTCTACGTCCCAGAGGCGCCCGGGGAAAAGAAAGAACAAAAAAGCGCCGCGGGCGAGTCGAAATTCGTGAATAAATTCTCGGGGTGTGTGTCGCGCTTCTTTTTTTTGGGGGAGAGCCTCGGTACCCCGTTTTGTTTTGTTTTTTGGTGTGTGTGTGTGTGTGTCCTGATTGTGTTTTGTGTTGGAGCCGAGTCGGTACCTCTTTTTTTGCTGAAAGCGGAAGCCAAACGGGAAGGCTGTTGCGCCATTTTGGGAGTCGCAAAAAAGACGCGCCACCCATGTGGAACCCAGGAAGGTTCCCAGGAGATGCCTCAAGTCGTTTCTATCAGGAATCGATGCCCCTGAGCGCGGTGCTGTGGCCCTATCGCAACCAAAAAGGGGCTCCACTATTTCGAGAGACTCCCACATGGATGGCTCGTGTTGTTCTAGGGCCACCCAACAAGGCGCAGCGGCTTTCCTTTTGGTTTCCCTTTAGAACCAACGAAAGGGCTACCCGGCTACCCTCGAAAAGAGGCACAGCCACATGATGGTTGCGGGTCCCATGTCAATGTGGCTGCGATCTCCCTTGATTTTGTTTTTTGACGCTTTTGGTCCGCTTCTCCAATGGACCGCAAGCAAATGTGGCAAAAGCCTTGGCCGTTGGAACCATGTCGGCCAAATCGAAGAGTTTGGTGGGGATAGGCCGACGGACGGATCGGATCCGATCCTGAGCCATGGGAACAGTCAGTTGGTTAGCCTGCCCTTGTTCAACGGGTTGTACCACTAGACCCCTGGACCATAGCCCCTTAAGGATCAGACACAAATCAAGTTGGTAAATTCGTTCTAGCTACGGCTGAACTGTGATATTTTTTTGGGGGGTTTGGTCTGAACCTTGTCAGTTGGGGGAAGTCTTTGACTTGTCATGCCGTGCCGAAGAAGCACCCGGGACAAGAAGTGAGGTGTCCTTGCATTGCTTTTTTCGTGGTATCACCTTTTGGGGGCCAATTGAAGCGAGTCCTTTTTGGTGTGATGTGTGAAGGGGAAATATAGGGAACCCTAGATCGATAGAAGCCACGCTTGTTGATCAATGGAAGGAGCCCTCCCTTTGCGTAATCCAACCGCATTTTGGGGAGGAATTAGGAAGCCCAAAGCAGGACGGATATGATTGTGTGTTTTCCTGATCCCTTATCAAACACGCTTTTGTTTTTCTCGTGAATCTGGTGGGATTGAAGATAATTAGAGAGAAACCTCCGCAGATGATATGTTGTATTTGCAACGTGGCAAAGTCATGTTGCGCAAGGCACAGAGAGACAGAGGCGCAGAAACACAGAGAGACACAGACACCCAGACACCTAGACATGCACACCGACACAACTTGCTTGCGTTCATACGCAGATGTGCAAGCCTAAGCACACATCATATGAACACGCATATGCAAAGACATTCACATACATTCACACATACATGCACACATGCGCTAATGCTTATGCGCATGTGCACACATGCTCTTGCGCAAAGGCAAACTTTGTTTTTCTGCAAAAGGAAAGTCATGACTGGTAAACCTTTGATGGCCCGCCAACGTAATAGTCGTGACTAGTACACCTTTGGTTTTGTGCGAAAGAAGTAGCCATGACTAGTAAACCTTTTGTCTGTCGGAATAGTCATGATTGGTTCGGCTTTGGTTCTGTGCCACCGCAAATAGTGATGGCTTTGCAAAGCGACATAGCATCAAGTCGTGAACGGTAAACTTGACCTTTCCCGGCGCCGGCGCTCGTCAAGTTTGCAATTCGCAGGCCGCTGTGCCTCTTCCGCCGGTGACGGTGGTGGTGCCGAAAGCCAAAGCGCCGGCAAAGTTGGCGGGCGAAGGGCGGAAGCCGAGCCTGAAGGCCGGGAACGAACAGCAGATGTGGCAGTCCAATCTAAAGGGCACCCTGAAAGTGTAAATTCCTGGTGGGTTTAAAGGGAAATGTGGGGAATACAGAAGAAACCCCTCGTTAGTTGATAAGTAAACACCTTGTTGGTTAAGGTAGGGGTTTGGATTGGTAGTTTGGGGGGGTTTTAACCTAGTACTGGTTCCTTTCGAAGCCAATGAGGAAGGTATTGTTTGACGTCCAAACCACCAAACGAAACCGCCACTTCAGGGTAAGGTGAAATTTAATGGGAACCCCGGACTAACAAGGCTATGATGTCAAATGCTCACAAATGGTCAGTGCCAAATGTGCCGAAGTCCTGTTGCAAGACAAGTTCTTCTCGTTTGGCTTGTTTTTCACCAAGGAGCGGCCCGTCACCCTCGTTTGGAAGCTGGGTCACATTTGCTTGTGCGATGATGTGGATACAGAAAGGCACCCGAAGATCGCCAAGTCAAGCGATCCCTTTCGGTTGGTTGCAAAATGTGTTGCATTCCAAGCCCTGGTGTGGGAAGGTCACCGTCTGCGGACAGTGGGTTCATGGATGGGCTATGAACCCATCAGGCCTGAAGGGCTTATCCTTTGGCTCGGGGTGCCCCACTTGTTGACTAAGATGACTGAAACTCAGGGGTTTTCTGGTGGGAATGAGCCACCGGGTACCCTGAAGTAGTGTTGACCCCAGATTCATCAACCAACCTGTTTATTAATAGACCACTTTTGGAGGGGGCCCCACCCCCTATTAATGAACAGGCTGGTTGATTAATGTGGGGTTGACATTCCTAAGACGCTCCCGATCAATTTAGGGCCCTCAAACAGCCGGGTTTTGAGACCCCCAAACCCCTCCGGGGTGTCCAATGGAGGGCTCGGGTCTTCCATTGAAAACCGAAGCCAGGAGCCATTGCAAAACCTTGCCCAAACCTCCCAAAAAATGAGTCACACTCACATCCCGGTACAAAAATGGTCGACCCAGAACCATTGGTTTTGACCCACAGCCACATGGCTGTGGCTCAAAAAAAACGGTACCAAAATGGGTTGCCCTGGTAAGTGGAAACATGGACCAAAACCTGCGGTTTGCCCCTCCTGTTTAATTTTGAGCCACAGCCACATGAGTCAAAAAGTAGAACCCCGCTTTGGCTTAGCAGGGCTCCTTAAAAGATACATTTTGCCCAAATACAAGGAAAACACCATTTACAGGGCAATGTTCAGGTGCAGAATGTAAGGATCCCTGCTTAGCCATAGCCTCCCCCCACCGGTCCGGTGCTTTTAGGAACTCTTCCGGCAGCGCCGGGAGGATTCCTCGGGGAAGGGGCCGTAACGAGTTCTTCGGTTCGCGGAAGCCGTAACGAGCTCGGAAGGGTCTGGGGTGAGTTACTTTTGGTTTCTTTGAGGTTCGTCAGCTTTTAGGTTTGGTTGTGTTAGGGTTGGGCTAGGGTTGCCTTCGTTGGGTCCGGTTGGCGCGCTTGTTCGGGCTCGGCATTTGGCGGGTTTGTTTATTCCGCGGGGTTGAGTTGAGTTGAGTTGGTTGTTTGTTGAGTGGAGTTTGATTGGTGTTGGTTTCGTCGGGTCTGCTGGGTTTGTTCGTTTGTGTGGTTTGGGTTGGCTTGTCTGGTTTATTTGTTTTGGTTGGTTCAGTTCGGTTGGTTTATTCAGTCGGTCGAATCTGGTTTGTTTGGTTGTTGTGTTGTTTCGTCGACCTTCAACCAACCTATGGGCCTGAACCAAAGCCAAGCCCGAAACTCTCCATTCGGGGGTACACTTTTCAGGCAGCAGCTGATGCAACACGCAACAAGCATCTACCTGACATCTTGTCATCCGAGGATTCGAACATCAAAACATGCTCTGGCCAGTGTTGACCGGCAGGTCAGCATTTTTCTTTGCTCGATATCCACCACATCCGTTGCTTCTTCGACTGTTTTAAGGCGTTCGTCTTGGCGTGTCAATGCTGTTGCCCTTTGACTTCCTATGTTTTTTCCCCTGTTGGTTTTAAAGGGAATCTATCACTACTGGACATATTTGTTATTTTTCCAGGGGACAAAAAAACGCAAATGGAGGTTGCTCTTTCCGATGTAGTTGATCCAAAAGGTCGCCTCCGCTCTCATGTCTCACCAGTTCACCGGCCTCCAAATCCCTTTTTGTTGGGTCGCTTCCCCACATGGTTCCCCCAAGAAGGCGTCAAGGCGTCCATTTTTTCCGGATCGCATCCTAGAATTGGTTGACGAACTGTGAAGCAGACATTAAGCTAAATGATGTCCACGATGTCCATCCAAGGAGCCCTAAATTCATACGGGTGTGTCCTTTTCTTTGCAGACCCCCCCAACAAAATAAATAAATGGGTGTTTGTTTTCGTTTGGCTTCCCTTCATGCTTCCCTTCAAATCCACCAACAACTAGTTTTCTCAAAAAAAGACGGACTGATTTATTCAAGGACCCAGATTGGTTGAGTTTTGCGACCGCTCGAAATCAGGAGCTCCAAAAGACCAACGACCTTCCAGTGGCAACGGCGGCGCCGGCGGCGGCGCTGGTGGCGCAGGCGGGGTTTGTACAGTTGCGGGGTTTCGTCGTCGAAACGCCTGATCAGCGCACTCTGACTTTGGCTGTTGGTGCTGTTTGTGCAGCTGTGTACGAACGCTGGCCGAAGCGTGTCAAAAGATGTTGGCCATTTTAGGGGCTCTACTATTTGATCGGGTTTGCAGGCCGTATGCAAAGGATCAACCATCTCCCGCTCACTTGGCTTTGCAGGCATGCGCTCGCGTCATTTTGAGTTTTGACGCAAGGGTTCCGACTAGGTACCATTGACCATGTGGTGCACGACACTCTGGTGATGACTTTTTCCAGTGAGTGCAAGATCAACAAAATGTTTGGGGTTCTGACTCCACTTCTCAGCAACCAGGGGTGACTTTGGCTCTGGGAAAATCTAAGGATTGTTATATTAAGGAATCCATGACACTTGGAGTTTCGACTCTTTGTTTGCGGACTAACCAACAAGAGGTGCCTCCCTTTTTTGCCCGATGGCCACTGGAGGTTTTGGACTGTGATCATGATTTTGATTGGTACAATAAAGAAAACTCTGTATGTGTGCTGTGTCTCTGTTTGTGTGTTTGTGTGTATGTGTGCTTCTCTCGAGTGTACCCTTCCTTGGCTGCCCCGCCCCCAATTGCAGACGGACCCGCATGCCTTTCCCAAACAAAATTTGACAGGTCTCCAAAGTAGAGCGAAAAGCTAACAGGGTGCTACAGATTGGAACACGAGAGGGGAACCACTCCAAAATGAACATGTGTTTTTTGTTTAAATAGATGTAGAGTGTGAAGCGAAGCTGAGAACATGAGGAGACGAAGGACACTCCGTTGTTTCGGCTATGTCCAGAAAGTTTCCTGAGTCCACGTTCGATCCCCCAGGCAGACTCATCTATGACTTGGTGTGCCTTGGGATTCCATAGGCTGCAGGAAAACAACATGGAGCCAAAAAGAGGGCCATCCCCCAAAACTCGTTGTTTGGGTTCCACATGGTTGTCGTTGGGAAACATTTCTTACATTTTTGCTTATTGTGGTGTTGAAATCCAAATCCACTTAACTGCTATGTTGTTTTCAATTTGTGCTGCCCTCCAACGTCAACCAAGTCCATGTTGATCTGTAAGAATGTAATTTCAGGAGAGCAATAATATATTGGGCTAACCAATTACCAACCCCATCCGAATCATGTCTAGGCCCTGGTGTCTGAAAGTATTAAAGCGGGGAACACCAACAATGGATTGTTTTGTTGTGTTCTTGTTTTTTTTTCCCGTGGATTCCCCTTGACAGCCCCAAACAGGAACCCCGCCAAAAGGACCAAACCCATCTACCTTGCTCGCTTGCTTGTTGCAAGGGTCCTGGCGGCGCCGCATCTGCAGCGCCACGCAGATTCAACGTGTATGGGTTTGTCTCGAAATGAGATGAGGCCCCCCAACATGGTCGCGTGCTTTTTGGGGAAAACCCCCGTGTTGGTTGGGTTTTTGAAAGGAGGCCAAAAGGGAAACCACCATTTTGTGGGTCCCCCAAAAAGGAAGGCAGCCCCAAGTGGCTGCATCGTTTCCTTCGGGTTTCCTTTTGAATCCCACCAAAAGCGGGACCGAAAAACCAGAAAGAACACATGACTACTTCACCTCTTGCATATAGACCTTATATCGCCCAATTTTGGTGGTTCCCAGCCATCCGGTTCCTTAGCTTTTTTGGGTTTAGCTGGTTTAGTGGGGAGTGTCCATGTCCACGAGTTAAACTTTTAGCCAAACCGGGGCGGCCAAGTAGGGGTACCCACTTTTCAAGCATGAAAGTGCACATCAGGGTAGCCTCTTTAAAAGCTTTCCTTCGTCCACTCCCGTGATTAATGGAAAGAGGGTAACGTTGTCTTCGGATTCATGCGCAGGACTCTGAATGGAACACCCTAGAATGGACAAGTTTCTTACTATCAGCGGAACCGCCCCGGATTTGTACAGTCCTCCCCCATGAATCCGAAGTTCACACCACGCTGAAGATCCTTTGCCCAGTTGCCCAGTGGTGCCCTTTTTCCCCCTGTTTGGGGAAGGGTCCCCTTTAAACTCAACCAACCAAAAAAGGCGGCCGATTCTTCTTTTCCCATGGAAATCCACTGGGCATCTGAGTTTACTAGGCGCTCTCGAATGTCCAGATTGTGAGCCACAGCAGTGTGCCCAGATTGCCTGTCTCCCACCTTCGGGCCCCCTTAAAATCGTATCAAGTCAAAGCGCAACAACTCGTCCACATACGGCTCTCTCTTTTTTGTTGTTTTTGTTTTCTGTTTTAGTGTACTCCTTCTTGTGGTTTGAAGGGAAATGGAAAGAACACTTTGCATTTTGGGGGTTCCCCTATTTTCAGACACAGCCACATGGTTATCTTGAACACAAGCGAATACTATGAACCAAATAAAGAAGATGTTTAAGCAAGCAAGTGCAAAGTAAGACCTGGGTCTCTGGCCTTTCTGCTAGGAGGTAGTGGCCGCCGGAGAAATCAATTTCCGGAGGACTACTTAGAGGACTCCCCTGTGTGTGTGTGTGTGTCTGAGAAGTGTGTGTGTGTGTGCGCGTTTTTTGGGAGAGTACCCCCTTTTTTAAAACCAAAGGGAAGACCGCCGTCTTGTTCAGGGTCCAAGCCAAAAAGAAGACGAGCCACCCACTAGGTCTGCTACCCTTGGTCGCCATGAGTTTCGACTAAGCAAAGGCCGGATGCGCGGCCCGCGCAGGTCCTGGAGGAGGTGCATCAAGATGCATCAAATTGGCTGGGGGGATTTCTCTTCTAGGTCCCCAGCTAGGTGCCAACTTCTAACCCAGCTTTTTTGGTTGGGAGGGTTGTCGTCTACTAACATAGACTACAGAAAAAGTTGGTACCCGCATTCTAACCTCTCTACTGGAGGACCTAGCCTTCACTTTGCGACAGGAAATGGGTGTGTCTCGCTCTTTTTGTTGGGAGAGTAACCCTTTTTGGATGGTTTCAAAGGGAAGCCAAAAGGAAGACCGAAGCCATTTTGGGGCGTCCCCAAGAAAAGACACCCAAATAAACACGGTGTTTCCAGTTTAGCAAAGGTTTCACGCTACCCTTAGTTGGTTTGGAGTGGTGGTTTGGATTTAGATGGGCAATCCTGGTTCTTGGTTTCCACATTTACCCCCGTGCTCCAATCCACCAACAATTAGAAGGAAGCGTATGACACTCTCCACGCCGGAGAAAAAAACAACAGAGGCAGGTCTTCAGCTGACTTTCACATAATAGGCACTGGCCGCGCTTGACTTTGCTTTGATTATGTCAACTTTACAGGGCCCCACTGGTGGATTAATCTGCGGGACCATGCTTTATGGAATATCTGAGGGGGGGTAGGTACAAGGGGGGTGCTGAGAGCCCTAGGTTCCCTTGAATTCCTTAGGGCTCCTTAGGGAGCCTTAGGGATCTTAGGGAACCCTTTGCTGGACATACCAATTAATCAAGCGTGCCTCCCATTTCGTGGGAAGCCTTTCAGTGTCCTGCAAATTCCCCCCTTGTACCTACCCCCCAGTTATTCCATTTCAGTTTCGTGGATTCCTCTCAGAAAACGCATCCAGATCACAAAGACAACTGCCAGCGTTTCCTTCTGTCTGCCTTTTGGGCTTGGGGAAGTAAAGCTTGGATCTTTTGGCGTGGGCTCTGTGAAATCCACTGACTGAAACCCCCAAGTGGACGTCAGTTTTGTGAAGAAAACCGTCAGCTTGGAGGGTACAAACTCACACGAACTTGTCGGTTGGTTGGATGTTCGGCCTAGGTCATAACCATGCCAAGGGAACTAGAGCCCAAGTTTCCCGAATTATGAGTTTGTCTTTCCTATTGGGACTCCCCCAGTAAGGAATTTTGGTTTTCCTCTTGGTTTCCCTTAACCCCCCCCCCCCAAATATGGAATTTTGGTTTCCTCTTGGTTTTCCTTCAAACCCTCCCAATATGGAATTTCGGTTTTCCTCTTGGTTTCCCTCAACCCCCCCCCCCCCCAAATATGGAATTTTGGTTTCCTCTTGGTTTCCCTTCAAACCCTCCCAATATGGAATTTCGGTTTTCCTCTTGGTGTCCCTTCAAAACACACCAAAAACGGGGAACCGACTCCAAATAAAGACACACCCTTCTAGCCCTGGTTTCGCTCCCACCAACTAACATGGAAGTGCACAAAGCCCCTCTCGAACAGGAAAGTGGTCTTTCCACAGGGGTCTCTGCACTTCCATGTGTTGCCCAGTGGTGCCCTTTTTTCCAATTTTTGGGGGAAGGGTTCCCCTTTTCAACTCAACCTTGAACCAAGGATCGTAGGCCGATTCGTTTCTTCCCATGGAAAGCCACTGGGCATGTGAGACAATGCTAGTGGGAGGATATATTGCCTAAGTGAGCGGAACCGACAGAGCCTAAAACAAACATCACATGCCGATTCTGAGTTCCCATGGAAAAATCCACTGGGCATCTGAGACTAGGTCCCCCAGTAGTGCCCTTTTACCCTTTTTGGGCGGGTTCCAAATAAAAAATAGACTACAGAAAAAAAAAAGGTTGGTACCCTTAACTTATTCAATCCTCTCTGCTTGGAGGACCTAGGAGTAGCCTAGGAGACTGGGAGGGACATCCAAGCCCGGTGGCCCTTTCGCCGTTTCGCGAACGAAGCTCCAGGCGGGCCTGGCCGCGGAGGTGGCGGGGCGCATCCTGGCCGCCGCGCAGCGCTGGGCGCAGCTGGAGAAAGGCGGCGGCGGCGCGGCCAAGCGGCTGCGGAGCGTGGTGTTCAATTTGCGCCAGAGCCTGGGCGAGCTTTTCATCTATTGATTTACTTGTTTATTGGTTTATTCATTTAATTTCTTATTTGTTGATTGATTTATTTATTTACTCATTTATTAATTTATATTTATTTATTCATTTATTCATCGCGGGATGGACATTATTGTCCCCACCTAAATTTGAGGCTAGGTCCCCCAGCTAGGTGCCCTTTTTAACCCAACTTGTTTGCTTGGGAGAGTTTTCGTCTACTAACATTGACTGAAAAGAAAAAAGTTGGTACCAACTTATTCTAACCTCTCTACTGGAGGACCTAGTAGCAGAAAACATGGGGATTCTCGGTATGAAACTGGGGAAGCGATTTGTGGGCACCCAAGGAAATAGCCTCAGTAGATACATTTGAATGGGGTTGTCTGCTATGAAACGTGTTTTTTTGTTTGTTGTTGTTGTTTTCTTCGTAAAGCATGTTCTTCAGCTTTCTTAATTGGTGGTCTGGATTGGTGGCTTGGGATGTGAACCCCAGTTCCTTCTGAAGCCAAATGGGAAAGGTCCCCCCTAACGTCCAAACCACTGAACCAAGCCACCAATTGCGGGGAAGCTCAGCTCTGCTTTCATGTCCATCCAATGTTGTACTATCAGTCGCAATGTTTCGAAAGTAAACAAGGACACACACACATATATATATATATATTGCAGAATATGGGTTTCTTCTAAACGGGATAGAAACTGGATCTCTTGGTCTTGGTTGCTTTTGACCCGTTAAGCTTAGGTACGCATCTGCAAACGGGGTGTTTGCAACGGAACCTTGTGAAGTGGAACATTGGAAGGGGCAGTATTAGCAGAACTCATCTCGGTTTTGCAGGTTGATGGCTGCCTCAAACTAGGGGACCCCATAAAAAATCGTTGGGTTCGTTGGGGGGAACCCTTTAAACCAGCCCAAACAATACATATATATATATATATGTATATATATATATATATGGTACCCCCCCCCAGGGACCTACCTTTTGATGAATTCACTGGTATTTGCAGTGTTTTCTACCCTTTTTTGGGCTTTGGGGAGAGCAATGAAAAGAAGCATTTCCAAGGACGTTCTGGAAGCTTCAGGCTTGATTGAACCGATTTAAACCGATTTATTTAAATCGGGCATGGATTCAAGATTCAAGAATCCAGGCCAAACTTTTCCAGGGATTCTTGAATCCAGGCGTCGATTTAAACCGATTTAAACCGATTTAACTTAAATCGGGCATGGATTCAAGATTCAAGATTCAAGACTCCCTGGAAAGGTTTGGCCTGGATTCTTGAATCTTGAATCTTGAATTCATGCCCGATTTGAGTTAAATCGGTTTAAATCGGTTTCAATCGACGCCTGGATTCAAGATTCCCTGGAAAAGCTTGGCCTGGAATCTTGAATCTTGAATCTTGAATCCATGCCCGATTTAAACTTAAATCGATTTAAATCGGTTTAAATCGAGACCCAAATTCAACATTGCACTTTGCGCGGCTGTACTTTGGCACAGTGTTGTGCAAGCATCCAAGTCCTGATTATTCATTCAATCTGTTTCAATCTAGGCCCACATTCAAGATTGCAGGTCAAAGTTTTCTAGGGAATCTTGAACCCAGGCTCAACTGAAATTTCAGTCGGTCTCAACGGGTTTCACTCGGGCCTGGACTTGCGTTTGCAAAGAAGACTCTAGAGAATATGGGTTCTTTCCTTATCAAATCCTGTTAAAGCTCAAATATTGAATTGCAAGTATATATTGGGAAAGGAACTCTATTTAAACTCGCAATCTCAAATTTGATTACCATTAGGATCCTGACCAAATATTTCCGTCTTGAGCCCCAATTAAATCCTGTTCAAGTTCAAATGAGCATTTAGAGAGCGTTCGTTGGTGGGGATGTGAATTGAGTATGAAAAACGCTACACAACACTGTGTTTTACGTTGTTTTCTGACCAAGGTAGTGTTAGGACTAGTGAAAGACACAAGTTTGGGACCTTTGGATTCTTTCCAGTATGTTTTATCAAATTCGACCTTATTCCTGATTGAAGTTCAATGGAGCTTAAGAAGGACATACTCCAGCCAAAATTGCGATTTAGATTCGAACTTAAATATTGATTGTTTATGTCAAATTAAATGGCACAAACGATGTCCTGTCCAATAGACCATTGTACATTGAAATTCAAACACTTTCAGAACTAGCTAGTCCTAGTTTGGTCCTAGTCCTAGTTTGGAGATCCTTGGTTCTAGGCCAAGAATGGTCCTAGCTTACTGAAATACATAGAACGTATAAAGGACATTACAAAGGAAGTTCGTTATGAATTGTAGTTAATCAAGTTCTATGCAACTTCTAGCTGAACAGTTGAATTGGAAATAAGGAGAATATCCAGTCAGAATTTACACGTTAGGACCAAAAATTAATCAGGACTTTTCTCCCACCAGAATGTAATACTTGACATCCAAATTCTATAAGAAATAGAATTGAATGGTCTAGTCCTAGTTTGGTCCTAGATGAGAGATCCTTGGTTCCAGTGTTAGGTTGCTCCCTAGTTTACTGCAATAATAAGAAAATATACAGGACATTGCAGAGGAAGTTATACTTGAAGTTCATTTGTTGTAAGAATCTGAGGTGGGTCGTCTAGTCCTAGTTTGGTCCTAGTCCCAGTTGAGAGATCCTGGGTTCTAGTCTCATTTGGTCCTGGTCCTAGTTGAGAGATCGTTCCTCCCAGTCCTAGATGGGCAACTCATGCACTGGAGAGGCAACCAAAAGGTAGGTCCTTGAAATGGGGGGTAGCATATATATATATATATATATTCCTCAAAATAGACCCCCCAAACTTGGGGTCCTGTTGGTTTCCCTTGAAATCAACAGGGCTCCTTAAAAGATACATTTTGCCCATTTGAAAGATGTTGCTTTTTCCACCAAAACAAAGGGACGCCACCATTTGCAAAGCAAAGTTGAGGTGTATAATGTAAGATCCCTGATCAACCCAAACAATATATATATATATATAGAGACATTCCTCCAGGCTTTGGTTGCTCCTCGAAGCCTCCAGCTTTGTGTGAGCTAGGAACGCGGAGCTGGTGACCCAGGCGGACGCAAATTGACTCGGGGGTGGACTAGGAGTAGATATCTTCTCGGCCGATTTTTGGGAAAATCGCTGACCTGGAAGGTTGATTTCAAGCTCGCCCCGCATTTCCTTGACTTGCGAGGATCCCTGATTTCGGCTGTTCGAATGGTACAGGTTGCGGAATCCCACGCCCGAAACGTGGCGTCGTGAGAATTTGCCCCGGATGATGTGAGTTTTTAACAGACCCTATCTGGGAAACATGGCGATTATGTCGGTGACGCGCTGGCACTGATAGTGGGGATAGCTGAAACACTACGTCTGGCGTGGCATAAAGTTGTTCCAGAAATCCCATGGTGAGGGTTTGTCTCAACACAAGTCCTCCAAATGCTCAATGCCCCTCCTCTGTCAAATGACCCAAGGCTCACTTCCTGAGTGGACTGGCCAAACAAGTCCCAACCTTTCCGTCTACCGCTAAATGAGAAGGGGGTGCGACAAGCCCACGAGCCAATAGCCAATGGCCGCCCTATTCTGGCGAGCAATCTCTCTCCTCGGCCAGATGTCTCACTCTGGTCGAGCGATTTTCTTTGCTTCTCATGGTCTCTTGCAAAGGTTGCTGGGTGAAGTACTAACTCCCAAACCGGAAAAAGAGTAAGGGAATTCCAAGCAAGGGATGCTTGAGCCTCAGGTGAACTTGTTTGACCAGAAAGATATTCAGAATCTTGAATGGCTACCAGATTTGACCATGGAGCAGGCAACCCTCTTGGGAGCTTCTGAGATTGTCCTTCAAGGTTTTGGTGCGACATGAGCAGCGGGCAGCACAACCAATATGGAACCGTTTTGTCCTATGCTGTAGCACCAGGAAACTCAAGCAAATCCGCCGCGTCACCCACCTTCAAGTTCTTTTGCAGGGATCTCTTTTCGGTTGGCGAGTAGTAATTTGCGCCTGGAAAATACCCAAGAAGGAAACTTGGATGGTACCCTGCGTTCCAGAGAATTCAGGTTTGGGCCGGGATCATCTCCACAAATCTACACAGGGGGCAAGGGTTCCACAAGACCCATGAGGACGGCATTTAGCGTCTCGACTTGACTGACGAAGTTTGCTCCAGCGACAGGGATGGAGGCACGTCTCTCAGAGTTGTGGGCTCCACAAAAATATTGGCGATCATTGCATTTTTAGTCTCACAATCAGGGACCCCTACGCTTGGTCTCATATGGTTTTTGTGGACTCAGCGACAGTGAAACGAAACAACTTGTTGGCAAAGGCACAGTGAAGGGTGGGGCACCAGAAAGGAACAGCCACAAGTTCAGTGGGCACGCAGGGCCCCGTTTGGTGTTGACACGGCCCGAGTGTTGTAACCTAGGAATCTGGAGCACCATCAGAGGAATGTGCCGATTCATTCTCGCTGAACCCTGAGCCACCCTTTTTCTGGAGACACCCCTATCCATTTCCAGTTGGTTGATTGGATCCTACAGAAACTGGCTGCGGTTTTTCTGTTGGTTGCCCCCCGAACAACCACAAACAATGGGTACCAACTCCTGCGCGACGAGCCGCCCATTTGGGAATGAAAAGGATCCATAGAGCCTTCGGCCGGCTTCCCCAGAGATTTCCTTGTGTTCGATTCGACATAGGAAGTTGTTGGTATAGGTGGAACAAGAAGCAGTTTTGAGTCCCAGGTGGGGTTGAACGGTGGTAAGTGGTAACATGGCGGGTGAAGCAAAATCAGGTGGCTAAACACTTAGCAACTTGGTGAACCGAACCTCCAAGTAGTTTTCCCCTTAAGATTCCCGTGATCCAAAGTTAACACAAGGCCCCTGCCCCGCCCCCCGCTCCCCGCTCCCCCGGCCCTCTGGCGGCTCTCGGAGAGAATTCATGCGACAGGTCAATAGCGGCGCGCTCAGCGTGAGCTCACTACTGCGCATGGGCTCGGAGGAGCTGTACTGGTTGCTTCAACAGGGCTCCTTGAAAGATCTCCATTTTGCCACCATTTGAAACATGTTGCTTTTTCCACCAAAAGAAAGGGGGTTCCCACCATTTACAAGGCAATGTTCAGGTGTATAATGTAAGGATCCCTGCCTCAATGGCCTCCTGCCCAACATGGAATTTAGGATACATTTTACATTTTACCGGTGACTGAAAGTGAAGCAAACAATCATATATATATATATATATACACTCTATAACTGGGCCTAACTCTAATCATGCCACCAGAGGGTCCATTTAAAAAGAAAATTGCGCAAACCAGTCTTTTGGTTTTCCTTACACTAACAAGCGGGACCATTTTGAGAGACCCAATGAATAAAACTGGCACACCGCCTCAAAAAGGGTACCCTCCAAAAGTGATACACGGCTTGTTACTGGGGGAGGCATCGAGGAGAACCGGTGATCTAAGCAAGGAGCAAGTGGGAGGTGTCCAATGGGGTCTGCATTTGGAACAGAGTCAGACAAATTATATCTCTCTCTCTCTCTAAATAGGGCGCTGAAATGGGTGTTTCTCAAAACAGGGGACCCCTTTTTGGATGGGTAAGGGAAACCAAGAGGAACCAACCACCTTGAGGGATCCCCGATTTTGAGAAACTTCTAAAATGGCCATGGGTCAAAATCCAAATCGTACCCCCAGTGAACATCCGACTCCACCCCCACTAGAATAGGTTCTAAAATGGGTGGTGAATTCACCTACCCCAAAATGGTACCATTGGTTTTGACCCCCAGCCATATATATATATATATATCTACTCAAAATGGGGGACCCCTCGAGAACCAACCACCTTGAGGGGTCCCCGATTTGGAGAAACTCCCACATGGCTGTGGACTCAAAAAACCGGAATTCCAAAATGGGTTGCCCTGGTAAGTGGAAGCAAGGACCACAACCTGCGTAATCCCCCCTGTTTAATTTGAGCCACACCCATATATATATATATATACATATATATATATATATCCTGGAATCTCCATCGTAGCATAAATTTCTGCCTCCCCCCTTGTTCGATACCAAAATTGACTCGACGTAGCACTTTTTGCCTCCCATTCGCTGCCGAGCGCTTTTTGACGATTCGGGCAGAAATCCCATTCGGCCTTGTTTTCTTCTTCTCCATGGTCAAGTTGCCGCCAAAACGGGCGCAAAAATGTGCAAACAAAGTGCAAAACGAGCGCAAATCGGCGCAAAAAAGCGCAAACGAGCACATTTGTTTTTTTTAATGCTACGAATCGCAGGTAGCAAATTGCATTTGCGCGCATGTCTCGAGCACTTTCTGTTAAAACGAGTGTTTTTTTGAGAAGAACGTGTCACGAGCAAAAATATTTCGTAGCAAAAATGAAGGTAGCAATGGAGGCTCCAGGATATATACATGTATGTGCGCAGGGTTCAAAGCCTAGTTGCATTGCGGTTGAAAGCGGGTGGTCATAAGGGCTCCCCGCGCAAGGAAAACATGTGGCGGCGTAAGGCCGCGTAAGCTTTTGTTGGAGGAAAGTTCATCGCGTAAGCGGCTTGGACTGTCCGTTTTGTGGCTTTATGTAGAACTTGTTGGTGATGTTGAGGTGAATGTTTGAGTGCCATTTGATCAGACACAAAGTCAGATTTGAATATGGAACCCCGCCAGGCGAGGGAGTTGCTCGTTTTGACGATGGTTCGGGTGGTGGTCATAGGCCACGATTGGGCGGAGCACAAAGACCTCTCAAGAGACGAGCTCTTTGAGCCATTTCTGCAGCAGGCAAGGGCGGCACATCGGAGCAGTCAAGCTTTAAGCTTTCTGGTGATGCCGCTTCGGTTCTCCGAGCCGGCGCCGAGAACCGGAGCCTTCCCGTAGTCTTCTTTCCTCCCCCCGTAGTCTTCCGTGCTCTTCCCGTAGTCTTCTTTCCTCTTCCCGTAGTCTTCCTTCCTCTAGCAGCTTAGCACCTTAGCAACTTCAGACCTTAGCAGCTTAGCACCCGCTCGCGGCGGCTCGAGACACGCATGACTGATTTAGCTGCCAAGAGTTGGCCGGAATATTTACGCATGCCGGCAATGTGGGAACCAAGGGGCTGCTGAAAATCATGTAGATGCATGCGCCTGAGGACAGCAGACAAATCTATTGCGTGTCATTCTAGATGTCTGTAACACATACTACAGAGTAGTAAATCTTGGTCTCACCAGGATGCCAAAACGTGGCCGCCTTTCTTTCGAGCCTGATGATGGATCCAGCAGAAATCTGGCACATGTTGCCAAACCCCGGGCACACAGACAGTCGAAATCCAGGCATTGGCTATCAGGCGGACAATGCTGCTGCCGAACGTTTCTTCGCGACCAGAGTTGCCGGGAGCGTTGGTCGGGCGGGGGTGTGTGTGCGGAACGAGCCTTGGTGGCTGACTGAGCGAAGGCACCAGCAAAAACTAGAGCATCATCATTTCAAGTCCGAGTCAGCTGGTTACGCAGCAGGAAGCAGGCAAGTGAGTGTCCTTGTCGCCAATTTTGGCAATTTAGACTGCATGGGTGTCAATACCCGCGGGGTGCAGGAGCCTAACTTGCTGACTGCACACATCTGCAGCAGATGGCGCTTGGTGCTTCTACAAGAAGCTTCCTCCAATGATTTGTGGCGTACATTCAACTCATTTGACTATGCCTATGTCATTTCTGAAGGTGATCCTCCTGAGGCGACGCGGTCCGGTTTGCTCCTGGCGGCAGGCGGCAGCGGTCGGAAGGTTTGGAGACGGCTGGCAGACAAGGTCTGTACAAATCCATGGGTTACTATCGCTCGGAAAGTTGCTAGCGAGACGCTGGTTTCCATGATCGCGTCCATCACTTGCACTGATGAGGAAGGCAATCGTCTTCTTTGGGGCGGACAGACTTCCTGGCTTGTTTGTTCGTTTCACCTGAACCATGTCGTCGCACATAAAAGAGGCGTTGTTGCCCATCTTTCTCGGCTGTTTTGGGATGACGTCTTGAGCCACGGAGCTGAATGCGGTGTTCCCATCATCGTAGGAGGGGACATCAACGCAGTATTCGGTTCATTTTGGGATGTAGCTCAAGAAGTGTGCAGGGAATACAATGCGAGGATTTCGAGTTTCCGGGCCCAAGTCGGTGATAGCATGTGGCTGTTACTGGTCATGCCAGATGGTGTCGGAAATGACATCATCGTAGGAGGGGACATCAACGCAGGATTCGGTTCATTTTGGGATGTAGCTCAAGAAGTGTGCAGGGAATACAATGCGAGGATTTCAAGTTTCCGGGCCCAAGTCGGTGATAGCATGTGGCTGTTACTGGTCATGCCAGATGGTGTCGGAAATGACAGCATCCAGCAGAGCGCCTCAAAAGTTAAAGCCGCACATCACCAATACGGACAAGCCTCGGCACAGAGGCCACCAAACGAGCTCTGCTTCGATAGCTTCATCGTCAAGTCAGCCCGTGCCACCCGGCCCAACTCCTTCTCGTGACCTGGGCGCAAGTTCTTCATGACAACCCGAGCGTGCTGGATCCTGCCAGTAGTCATACTGAGAAGGAGCTTGTGACCGACTCTTTGGGTGGACAAACACTTGGCTCCAGAACTATTTGCAGCATTCTCCGATTCACGGGCTTGACAGCTTGGTCGACTGCTACAAGCAGGGCTGCTCTTCGATGATGCGAGACGACCCAACTGAAGCTTGCTTTGTGGTCAGCGCCTTTGACCCAGGACCAAAGTGCCCATCTGTCCGGAAGCGCTTTGCGTGTTCCTGTCTCAAAATCACCCGGTGCTACAGCCTCACTGCTGAGCTCAACCGACATGCTGCTACTGGCGTGACTGTCCGGAACAACATCTTCAGCGACCTTGTTGCGAATGAGCCACTGCATCTCTGGGCGGTTGAGGAAATCACTGTCCGAGAGCCTGAAGAGTGGAGGCGCGGTTACTACGACAAACCTCGGTCGTGGGAGCTTTCTGGCCCCAAGCTGGGTGGTGAGAACGAGATCACTCGCAAATTTGCGCAGCAAAAGGCCTTCAAGAGCGCAAACATGCCGCAGCCCGAGCGCTCCATTGAAGAGAAGCTCTCTGCCAAAGCCCGTGCCTTGAGCAAGCACTCGGCGAAAAACAGGCGGCAGCTCGCTGCCTTACGAGCCACTGTGGAGCCAAATTGTTCAAGCTCATCTTCTTCCTCTTCGTCATCGTCGTCCTCATAGCTTCGAACTGCCCTCTACTGTTGTAGCGCAGCATCCGTGACTCAAAAAAAAGGCGTGTGGGAACAGCGGGCGTAAGGAAACCATTGAGTTTTGTAAGGGATTTTCTTTGCATGAGCCGCACGTAAGGTTTGCGCAAGGGAAGCTGCCAAGAAGGAAAGCGCGCAAGAAAACGTGTACTGCGCGCAAGCTCGCGCAAGCACTTCGCGTAAGAGTTCCTTACGACCTGGATTTGAACAAGACCTTTTTTGAACGCTGCTCATGTGTATTTCCTGTGTATCCCGTTACACACACATCCATATGGGTGGCCCGTCTGTTTTGGAGTTGGTACCTGCTTGTTGTGACGTCTTAAAGGGATCCCAAACGACGACCACCGCTTTCGGCGGTACCTTCAGAAAGACACACATCCCTCTGCGCGTATTTTTGTTTGATACCACCTTGGGAGTGGTTCTAATTGGACACCGCAGAACCACTGGCCCAAATATATATATATATATATATGTATATATATATATATATGGTCCCGTGTTCCGTGTTGCTACCCCCCTCCCCCCCCCCCTATGGCGTGGATCCCCTAAACCCCCCCCCCCCGGCCCGAGACCCCGAGCCCCGGATCCTGTTACCTACGGTCCCACCCCCACCCCCCGAACTCGCACCCCGACACCCCGGCACCCCCCATCTATTACCCCCAGGACAAGCCAACCCGCAACCAACCATAAACAAACCCTAAACTAACCCTAAACGAACCCTAAATACCCCCTAGACCAAACCCTAAACCGTAGACCTCTAAACCTAAACCAACTCCAAATCAACATAAACCAACCGTAAACTAACCCTAAACCAACCCTAAACTAACCCAAAATGCACCCTAAACCAATCCCTAAACAACAAACCCTAAACCTAAGCCAACCCTAAACCAACCCTAAACCAACCCGAAACCAACCCTAAATACACCCTAAACCAAACCCTAAACCGTAAACCTAAACCAACCCTAAACCAACCCTAAATCAACATAAGCCAACCCTAAACCAACCCTAAACTAACCCGAAATACACCCTAAATATACCCTAAGCCAATTCTAAACCAACCCTAAACTACCACAACAACCCTAAACCACCACAAGCCAACCACAGGACCACTACCACAGGGGGGGGGTACTTGTCTGACCCATGACCATTGGTGGGGGGGGGGGCTGGCAACGCTGTATATATATATATATATATATATGTGGTTTGCTTTCTTTCTTTTTGTTAGGGGTGAGGCTCTTCTTCTGTTTTGGCAGGGGGTTAATGGGTTCTAATGCCATTTTTGAAGCCAAAGGAGCACTCGCCAAAATGTTGTGTTTGTTTTCTTCTTTTTTTGGGTTGGGGGGAAACAATATACACATAATATAAAAATATAGAGATATAATATATAATATATAGATATATATAGTATATAATATATATATATATATATTTGGGGGAGGGGTTCCTGATTTTAAGACACGTCCCTCCGTCCGTGCAGGGCCCCAAGCACGGGCACCGCTCAAACCGAAGCCGCCTCTCGCGCGCGACTCTCGCGCGCGAGGAGCTGGCGGCGCCGGAGGTGCGGAAGCGGCGGCGGCAGCTGCAGCAGCAGGCGCTGCAAGAGGTGGCCCGAGGGCCCAGGAGCCGCGGCCAAGCCGCGGCCCGCGGCCCGCGGCGGTTTTTTTTTCTCCTTTTTTTCCCTTCGTGTTTTTTTTTGGGGGGGGTTGTTTGTGCCCCCGGGGTTTATTTTTTGGTGTTTTGTTCCCCGGTTTCGAAGGGCATGGGAACATGTCATGGTTGTGGTTGAGAATTCGTTTCTTGTTTTTTTGCTTGTTGTGGTTTCGTGGTTGAAATCCCCACTTAGCTGCTAAAAAATTAGATGTTTGCTCCCCTTTTCCAACGTGAACCAAGATGTGAGCCACGGCCTCAAAACCCGGGTAGATTAATGTTAGTAATGGGCAGTCCCAGCCGGAAATAGTTGCGGATATATCCGGCTTCTTAATTCGTTGCATGGTTCTGGGTAGACCATTTCAATACCTGGTCAACGGTGGTGACTCATCTGTTTTCTATTGCGGCAAAGTTTCAGGTCGGACTTTTGTCCGCCCTCGGTCCTGGTGTTTCTGCCAGGTATCCCCAATGAACCGTCCTACTTGTGAAAACTAGCGTTTAACCTGGGGCCTTGACAGGGATGCTCAGCTTCCGGAGTGCTGTTTCGGACTGGAGGCAATGTTGGTGAGTTTGGACCACATTTTAGTGGCTAAATGAGGAAAGGACTTTCTTTGGTCAATCCACTCAAGAAGTGAGGATCACTTCCTGACTTGGATTTTGTCACTTGCCAAAAGCCAACCTTTTGACTTTCTGGTTTCACCTGTTTGGTCCATTTCCGGGATCATTTGACTGTTTCAAAGTCAGTGGGTTTCCCCGGAGTTCCTCAGCAGAAGTGTCCTTTGGATCGGTTAGTTTGGTTAGACATACATGGGTTCCACTGGAGTTCCTGGACTTGATACTTTTGGGGTCTGGACAATTTCAGTGGCAAAGACATGGCAAAGGGCTCTGTTTGGCCAATCTACTTAAGTGAGAAGAGGGCACCTGCGAAACGTGCTCAAGATGTTTGACCTGAAACATCTTGATATTTTGGAAAGTGCCAGATTCCCAAAGGAGCAACTAGCTGGACATGTTTGCAGGCAGATGCTCAAGTTGAACGTTGCTTCAAAGGGGCGCCATCACAAAACCGTTTGCTTTGCGACACTTGGAAGAATTGGGCGCATGCCTCCAGACATCCGTCTTTTCGCGGTTGTTGCTTTTGGGGGAATTTCAATGGCAACCACATGCAAAACGAAGCCCAAGTTGCTGGTTTCGCGCCATCTTAAGACAGCCCACAGACATGAGGTTCATTCAAACTATCCGGTGGTCTTTTGTTCATTTGGAAGGGACATGTCCTCTACTGTACTTGCATATTTTGACTGTGGCTCATATCAACCCAGACATGTGTGCTGTTTTCAATTTGCTTGTTCCACCTGCCTGACCGTTTCTGGGGGTTCCTCCAAAGCTATTTTGTATTTGAGGGAAGAATCGTACTATTTCTGTATAGCCCTTGTGGGCCAAGATTTGACATGGTTTTGAACAACTGGCGGAAGCCCTTCTCCTTTCTGGTCTCTCTGCAGAGCATGAGGCAATGACTCCGAACTGAACCATCCAACTGGTGGTTTCCTTCAATCGGATCCCGAACGGTGCTTTCCGGAAACCCCGAAACTACTGTCCACCTACAAGTTTTCCCTTTCCCGCGGTTCCCATTCACCCTGAACCTTGTGAGACATGGGGTTGGGTACCAAATCCGTACTTTGAAACACCATGAAATCCCATTAAGGGTTCTCATTGAGGGTTCCCCTTACACATATGCCGTATATACATACATACCGTGGACACAACCCCCATCCATGTATCCCTTCTGTTAAGGGCTTCCTATTGAGGATACGTTTCAAGGGTTCCTCCAAAACTCAGGCGACTATTTTCTATAAGCTGATGTCATAGTATGTGTCAATAGGGGTCCAACAAACGTGGTTCTCCTCTTCGTTCCTGCTCCAAACCTACCTAAACCCACCCTAGAAATAGGTTAAACCTGCCCCTAAACCTACCAACACCCACCCTAGACATAGCCGAGCCACGAAAAAATCCACGTGCCGAGGTGCTCCGCGATGAGAACACCTTCGCGGTGCGCTGCAGAAGCTGCGGGGAGGAAGCTCGAGGCGTCAAAGCGGACGTCCAGTCACGGCTCTTGTTTTGGAGGGTGCCCTTTTTGGGCGTTGGTTTAAAGGGAAACCAACAAAACCGTTGCACCATTTGTTTGGTCATTTAGTATATATATATATATATATATACATATTTAAATGTTTAATGTGTTTCTCGTGTTCTTTTTGTTTTTTTTGGGAGGTGGGGGGTGGGGAGGAGGGGATGCCCTATATTGACACATACCCATGTGCCCCAGACACGGGCTGTCCTTTGGTTTTTACTGCGCTTTTCCAAGGCTGACGAACACACGGATGTAAGCTCGTAAAGCAGTGTACGTATATATATATATATACATATATGCATGGTCCATTATGTGTATATATATATATATATATGTATTTTTTCTCTCTCTCTCTCTCTCTTTCTCTGTTTCTCTCGTTTTCTCTTTGTCTTTTTTGTCACTCTCTCTCTCTCTCTCTCTCCTTTTAGGTGGCATCCATGGCTCCAAAACCCGAACCTGAAACTGCTCTTAGGCTGGTGCGGGGGTGCGTTGGTTGGGGGGGTGGGCACGGCCGACAGGGCCGTGCCGTGGACCCTGAGAAGTCAATGCCCCCGAAGCTCCGACCTGGTTGAGACATGCGTAGAACCCTTCATGCCCAGTCTGCTTAGAATCACGCGCTGGGCGTTAGGCCCCGTTTCTCACGACATAGGGGCCGCAAGCCGCGGCGCGACAGGTGTGATGGCCCGAAGCGCTGCAGCGGCTGAGGACGGCATGTCAACAGATGGGACTTGGACTGAGTGGAGTGCCCGAAGACCTTTGGCTGGTTCCACTAGGTCCCCCAGTAGTGCCTTTCTACCAACTTGTTTGGGGGAGGGTTTCCCTACTAAAATAGACTACAGAGAAAAGGGTACCCTTATTTAGCAGGCTGACGCCTGATGCCGCCGACCCTAATGGATTGCTATGGCAATCGTAGCATCCCTTGCATCGCAAGCGGGCGTAACGTCACTTTTGATTTTTTTGGCATGATGACGACGGTCACCATGCTGATGATGACGATGATGAGGATGAGGATGAGGATGAGGATGAGGATGCTGATGCTGGATGATGCTTTTTTCCGTGAGAAGGCGGGCGCGAGGTAGCTTGTTTGTTTTTGAAAAAATCGAAAAAGAGAGGAAAGAAGAAGACAGAAGTAACTCGAAGGTGTAATAAAGGTGGACTGGATCTCCTCGAAATATTGGATCATAGAAAAGTATACCAGAATGAAGATCACCCAACATAAAAACAAGTGTACCAGATAAGATAGGCAACAAAAGCCGTAAGCAAGGAAGAGAAAGGAAACAATGGGATGGTCTGCAATATAAGATAATAAGATCTCAGGGGTGAAAAGTCCGAGGCTCAGGTCGGAGGTTGAGAGCAACTTTCGAAGACAAAGAAGGCAGGTTCTGCATCCCGCACAGACGTAACATCACCCCAGGCACTTTGAAGCTGGGGATGCAAAAGCTGCCTTTTTTCCCGGGTCTCCAAGACCAAAAAGGCAGCTCCCGCATCCCCAGCAAGCAGAGCATCACCTCAGGCACCTGCAGGATAATGCTGGAGAAGCTGGGGATGCAAAAACTGCCTTTTTTGCCGGGTCTCCAAGACCAAAAAGGCAGCCCCCGCATCCCCAGCATGTAAAGCATCACCCCAGGCACCTGCAGGATGATGCTGGTGAAGCTGGGGATGCAAAAGCTGCCTTTTTTCCCGGGTCTCCAAGACCAAAAAGGCAGCTCCCGCATCCCCAGCATGCAAAGCATCACCCAGGCACCTGCATCATGATGCTAGTGAAGCTGGGGATGCAAAAGCTGCCTTGTTTCCGTGAAAGGGCTGACAAAAAAGGCATCATCCATTATCATCACATCATCATCCATCATCATCATCATCATCATCATCATCATCATCATCATCATCATCATCCATCATCATCATCATCATCATGAATCACCATCACCATCATCATCATCATCATTCATCACCATCCTCATCATCATCGTCATCATCACCATCATCACCATCAGCGTCATCATCCTCAGCATCATCATCATCATCATCATCATTCTTATCATCATTCTTTTCTTCATCAGCATCATCATCAACATCATCATCATCATCTTTCATATCAGCATCACCATCATCGTCGTCATCCAGCATCATCATCATCATCATCATTCATTATCCATCAGCATCATCATCCTCATCGTCGCATCATCATCATCATCATCCATCGTCAGCTTCCCGTAGTCTTCCCGTAGTCTTCAGCTTCCCATAGTCTTCCGTCTCATCTTCCCGTAGCCATCCGTCAGCTTCCCGTCATCTTCCCGTGGTCTTCCGTCATTCTCGTGTTGTCTTCCGTCAACTTCCCGTAGTCTTCCGTCATCTTCCCACAGTCTTCCGTCATCTTCCCGTCAGCTTCCCGTAGTCTTCCGTCATCTTCCAGTAGTCTTCCGTCAGCTTCCCAATATTGTCTTCCATCATCTTCCCGTAGTCTTCCGTCATCTTCCCGCAGTCTTCCGTCAGCTTCCCGTCATCTTCCCGTAGTCTGCCGTCATCTTCGTGTAGTCTTCCGTCATCTTGCCGTAGTCTTCCGTCATCTTCCCTCTTCCGTCATCTTCGCGTGCTTCCCGTCATCTTCCCGTAGTCTTCCGTCATCTTCCCGCAGTCTTCCGTCAGCTTCCCGTCATCTTCCCGTAGTCTTCCGTCATCTTCGTGCAGTCTTCCGTCATCTTCCCGTAGTCTTCCGTCATCTTCCCGCACTCTTCCGTCATCTTCCCGTCAGCTTCCCGTAGTCTTCCGTCAGCTTCCCGTAGTCTTTCCGTCAGCTTCCCATAGTCTTCCGTCATCTTCCCGTAGTCTTTCATCATCATCATCCATCCTCACGGTTAGAGGTTAAGGTTAGAGGTGTGGGTTAGGGGGTAGGGTTAGAGGTTAGGGTTAGAGGTTAGGGTTAGAGGTTAGGGTTAGAGGTTAGGGTTAGAGGTTAGAGGTTAGGGTTAGAGGTTAGAGTTAGAGGTTAGGGTTAGAGGTTAGAGTTAGAGGTTAGGGTTAGAGGTTAGGGTTAGAGGTTAGGGTTAGAGGTTAGGCGTGTCAAAAATCCGCCACACCCCCCCTCCCCCCCTCAGACTCCCCCTAACCACCACTTAGAACACGCCTCGCCCCTTTGCAGAGACTAACTTGGCTTTTGCAAAGGGGTCGGCGGATTCTACTCAGTTGCCTGAAGTGAATCGACCTTTCGACCTTTTGGTTTGCCAGTTTTTTTTCCATATCCCCAAAAGCTTAACCTTTTATGTTTGGGTGCTTTTTGGGCAAAGTTATAGTAAGGCCGGTTCAACCCTTTCTAACCATCTGGTTTTTGGGCTTTGAGTGCTGCTCATCTGGGTTCTATCGCTGGATGGTTTCAATTGCTTTGATCTGGGTGACGACCCCTCCAATCTTCACGTCGCGCCAAACTTCCGAACCTTGTCTTCATTTTCTTTGGTGGCATCCCCAAACCTCCATTTGCTTAAGACTTAAACATATCGTTGATTTCCCTCGTTGGGTTTCAAAGGAATTCATCACTACTGGAAACATGTTTTTTTTGTTTTTTTTTCGCTGGGGCCCTAACCAAATCGATGCAAAGGGCCCGACTTTGTCCACAAGGTGTCACCGAGCTGGACTGCGACTCGGTTGTGTTACCGGTGGAATTTTCACAAACCGGAAGCGATTGGCAGGTTTCTTCTGTTCAGCCTTGACACACCTTTTTCCCTCAAGGGGGCCCTTCTTTAGCCCTTTGGGCTTCCTTCTTTACGCAGGGGGTGTAAGTTTGACCAAGCAACCGATGTGAACTTTTCGGCTTGACGACCTTTTAGCCGAAGGGTCGTGAGTTTTGGTCGCAAGATGGTGGCGGCCTTAGCTGTCAACCTGAAAAAGTTGAAGTATATTGCCAGAATTTGCTTACTTGTTTCACGGCAGGTTTGGGGATGGCTTGTTCTGCTGCGGTTGGGTGGTGGGTTTGGGGGGTTTGGGGTTGCCCGGGTTTTGCGGGTCGAAGTCATTTCGACCACCACAGCATGGTTTCTCAACCGCCGATAGCGGATACCCAGCCGTTGATTCTTTTGGTTTGGGTGGACTCCTTCACTTCACCAGGTGTCACTGTGCTCCATGTGGGGGCCCTGCCGAGGTTGCGCGAAGTCGCCCTCGTCGTTTAAGGGGAACCAAAGGAAACACTCGTTGTTTAAGGGTGGGCCCTTTTTTGGAGGCACCCCCTTGAAGCCAAAAAGGAACCCTCTTAGGTCTCCCAGTAGTCTTTTACCCTTTTTTTGGGGAGGGTTCCCCTACTAAACAAAGACAACAGAGAAAAGGGTACCCTTATTCTATCCTCTCTACTGGAGGACCCAGCAACCATTTTTTGCCCCCCCTGATTCTGAGACACACCCGCATGATCAAACATGGGCCAACAGCCTCTCGTGCTGAAAAACAGGAGGAGGGCTGGGGCCAGATGTCCGTGCGCGGCAGTTGCCCAAAGTGTGGGCATGCAGGGCGCTCAGCTTGGGCTCCAATGTCAATTCAAAGACGCAACAAGCGGAGCCACGAAGGCTTGGTGGTTCCCAGGCATTTGCTGCCTCAGCTGTTTCGGTGTTCAGTTGGCTTAGTGGGGGGTGTCCATTTAACCCACTAGTTCAACTTTTAGCAAGAATCTGAGGGCAGCCCAGAAGGGCATGGCCTTTTAAGAGTCACCATTAGTCTTTGATAGTCACTCTCGTCTTGCAATTGCTCTCTTTGCAGTGGCTCTGAATCAGCATAAAAGGCTTGGGGGAGACGACATGTCGCTTTTCAATGGAGGTCGAACATAAAGCCTGAATCGTAGGTTTTGGGCAAATCAATGCAAAGGGATCGGCGGAACATGTGCCTCTCACACAAAGAGGCTTGTCGGCATGTGTGAGTACATGGGAATGACCAGTTAAAGGAGCGTGTTTGTTTCCAGGTATTTAGAGGGGTACCTGTTTAAGGATGTTCTTTGTTTTGTTTTTGGATTTGTGCTCGCTTTTGGCTTCTTGGCTACTTGGCTACTTGGCTTTTTGGCTTCTTGGCTTTTTGGCTTCTTTTGGGTTTATGCGTCTTTTGGTGGTTTTTTGGCTTTGGCTTTTCGCATCCTCTGCATTTCCTGTTTTGGCTTTTGCAGCTTTTCGTTGGTTTGTGCGGCCTTTGGCGGCTTTGGCTTTTCACATCCTCTGCTTTCCCAGTTCCTTTTTGGCTTTTTGCACCCTTTGATTGTTTTTTGGCTTTGGCTTCCCGCATCCTGAGCATATCTCAGAGAAAGCATATCTCAGCATCACCAGGTCCTCCCTGGCAAGGTTCTGTTTTGCTGTTCTTGTAAGTATGCATGTATGTATGTAATCTATGTAATCTATGTATGTATGTGTGTATGTTTGTCTGTCTGTATGTATGCACTTCTTGGAACATCATAGGGGGGGCTGCCCCCCCCCCAACCCCGCTGCTGCTTTGTGTATTCTATCGCAACCTTTCTTGAATCATTGCACCCCTAATTGAATCATCGCTTTTTCAAACATCATGGGGGGGCTGCCGTCCCCGCCAACCCCCCCCCCACTACTTTTTGGGTTTTGTACAGCACCCGTAGTTGAATCATCACTTTTTCGAGCATCATGGGGGGCTGCTCCAACCCCCCTGCTACCTTTTCAGATTTTTACAGGGATTGAATTGTACCCCTATTTGAATCATCACGTTTTCGACCCCGCCAACCCGCCCGCTACTTTTTAATTTGTTTTACCCACGATTTGCTGGTGATTCTGGGGATGTTGGCGGGACATGCGGGGGATGTTGAAAACCATGCTGGGGATGTTGACTGGCCAGTGTAAAATCGTGAGGAATTGCTATAAAATACGAGATTGTGCTGGCCAAGACGAAGAACAAAAAGCAATCCCACAATAAATCCATTTCATTCTGGGGTGGTTCGAAGGGAAGCGCAAGGGCAATCAAGCATTTTGAGATTGCCATATTTGGAGTTGTTCAAGAGAGGTGAAGCGCAAGTCACAGGGTGATGGGGCAATGCTCAACGCAACTTTTGCGCTATAGTTGAATGGGTCTTAGATGAGCCCGTCCTAAACGGAAAGCGAAGCTCAAGCACCTACAGGACTTCGGTTTCGAAGCTTGAGTTCCCCTTCTGGCCGGCTGTTGAGGTTTTGTGTGACTCACCCCGGACAGGCGTTTAGAGGGGTTCATGACAAACAGCTCCCAAAACAAACATAGAAGCTGCAAAGGTGTCCCTTTAAGAGGAGCATTGTCTTCTAGGAGCCACTGTTCAGGTTCTATGTTTTATTTTGGGAGGGTATCATATCCCCCTCAAAGTTTGAGTTTAGCAGGGGGCAAACTCACCACCACGAGTGAATAGCTCAGGTTTGGATGGATCATGGATGAGGTGCTGTTGCGACCCGGCATGCATCTTCCGGGTTTTGCAAAAAGTTCCACAATTGCAAGTCAGGAACCCTTTGAGCGATGGCACTGGGCATCACTCCAATTGAGAAGTCCTGCTGCCTGGTTGTATGGGTGTGTTGTTTTGAGGCTACTCTTTTTTGGTCAAAATGACCACCATTTTGGGGGTCCCCTGAAAAAGGACACACCCAATATAAACCTTTATAACGAACCCAAAGTCAAGAGGTTTTGGTCGCTGCTCCTTCGCTGGTCTTCGGCCTGGGTTTTCAAAGAGCCAACCATCGTAGAACCTCAGCAGCTGGTGCTGGACATACGCCCTGTGTCTTAGAATAGGGGGCCCCAAAATTGGCCAAACGGTTTTCCTGTGTGTTTTCCATTGAGACCACCCCAAAAAGGGTGCGCTCAAAAGCAACACACCCCATGCGAATGATGTCCACCAAAGCGTCCCCTAGTTGCAATTCAATACCCACAACCATTTTTGCCAGGATTTGAGCTGGTAGTTTCCTGTTGCAAAAGCGCCGTTGTTGGACAGGGCTCCTTAAGAGATACATTTTGCAACCATTTGAATCATGTTGCTTTTTCAACACCTAAAATAACAGGACACCACCATTTACAAGTTGCAATGTTCAGGTGAATGCATCCGGATCCCTGTTGGACACTCCGCTCAAGAGATACGTAGGACTTGGCCCTTCCAAGTCATCGAAAAACCAAAGGACCAGTCCCCCGGACCCGAAGGACACCATCAGGTGGATAGAGGTACGCACCCATGGTGCAGGCGCTGCTCTGGGCAGAGCTTCCCGGGTTTCCAGACGACTTTTGCCTCTTCCGTTTTCTTGTTTTTTTGTTTTTTTTTTTTTTTTGTTTTTTTTTTTTCGTTCTTCGCAAGTCGGCTTGGGCCCACTGCACCCAACTGGATAAATCAGGGTCTTTCCAGCAACAGCACAGTTTGACCACAACTTATGGACCAACACAACTGGTCGGCTTTGCGGCTTTGCTGTGGCCTAGCTGAGACCCCTGGAAGACCAATCTTCTTCTCAAACTTGGCGAGTCCCATGGCAACGTGAGTGGAAGGGCATTTTTATTTTGGCTTCCCCTTAACAACAAAACCGGGTTTTCTCTACGATCCAGCTGGAACGACGATCCAGCTGGAACGACGATCCAGCTATGTTGGCGTGCTGCTTGCAGGCCCCCGAGCTCCTTCTCCGCGCACCTGCGCCGCGGGGGGAAAAAGATCCGAAACGCAGCCCCGCGCGAGAGGAGGAGCCACGAGTCGATGCGCTCTAACCCGAAAAGCCAATGCTCCATTGGACGCCTCTTCCCACTTGCCCAGTCAATTCCGCCAATTTGTCTTTCAACTTGTTTCTTTCAAAGAGGATGCCCTTTTTCCCCATGGAAATCCACTGGGCATCTGAGTTCTTTTTATGGCGAGCCCAAGCAAGTTGGGGGTCGACCAAAACCAGGGCCCCCCGATGCCAAAAGGCCCCCGGACAAGACGCAAGGCTCGTTGAAGGGCGCGCGACGAAATTCGAAGAGATTCGTAGCCCATGCCACGGTCAAGAATGGTTTTTTCAAGGCCACAAGGCCGTGTGTGCGGTTGTCTTGATTTGTGGGAGCTGGCGTGCGTGATTGTGTGTGTGATGGTGTGTGAGTGTGTGCGTGTGTGCGTGTCTGTGTTTTTGAAGCTCAGTACACATTTCAGCTTGTTTCGAGTGGAAACACACGACAAGCGTGGGTAAACGGGCCTCACACATCATCCTTGAAAAAATGCCAGACCGGCCTCAAACCGGCTTGAAGCTACTGAAAGCCAAACAAGTATTGAGAGCTGTGAACGCAACGGTCTCAAACCGGCTTCAAGCCAGTTTGGGGGTGACCCTATTTTGACACACACACACACGCACACGCACACACCCATGTGACACGGCGCGCGTGTTGTTTTCCGCAAATGGGCGTTCCTCGCATTCGACAGCGAGGAACGCCATTTGCAGAAAACATGGCAACATCAGCATTCAGCACTTCAAAGCACTACTGCATCCCTTTCCCACCAGACAAAGCGGAAACCCACGCTTTTTGGGGGATTCACGTTTTTTTGACACACAAGTTGCATGGCATAGTTCCCTGCACCCTCTTTGGCTTAGGGGATTCATGTTCAGGTGAAACGAACCTAGAGGAAGCCCCCCCCGGTCCATTTCCTGTCGAACCACGCGCAGGTGGGCGCAAGCACTTGGCCCTGCGCGCCCTTGTCCAAGCCATGGCCCTGGCCGTAGGGTTCCGTGCGATTCCAGGTATGGATGGAGGTATGGATGCTATGGGTGTGTATCAAAAATGAACCACCAGGGGCCCGCAGTTTTTAGTCCATGTTTCCATTTACCAGGATCCATTTTGGGTACACATGGGTGTGTCTCGTTTTCGGGGAATTTCTCAATTCTTGCGTATTTTTGGGGAAGGTCCGCAAAGTTCCGTCGCATGTACCGAAAATTCTTACATTTGAGCAAGAACTGTTTTTCTTGAGCAAAAATTAAAAGACACAGGAGCGTTCAACTACTTTTTTGTACAAGAACCTCAGTTCTAGGTTTAGCCCTGGCACTGGAGCTTGTCATGCTCATGGGCCGAAAGTTCAAGTGAACGTGTGCAATTCACCAAGGACCAAAGGTGTGCATTTCTCCGAGCAACTATTCCGCTGATTTCCCCGTACATGCCCCGCCCATTTCCGTACATTTCCGGGCTCGAACACTTGCAACAGCAACACGTGAACTGGCACACATTGCCGCAGAGCCTCACAGCAAACAGAGATCTTGTTGGCTGCCAGCCATCCCCTTAGCCTTTTAGCTTAGTGTTTAGTGGCAGTTTCCATTCAACCCACCAAAAGTGAATTAAACTTTTAGCAGGGGATCGGAAAACGGGCAGCCCAGAGATGTACTGCATGAAGCGGAGCTCAGTCTGGGGGGCCGTATACAAAATTGCAAGCTGTGTGGAAGTGCGCCCAGGAACGCAAGCCCTCACAGCCTGAGGGCGGAAGTTTTGTCAGTCCTTGTCCCAAAAAGTGTTCATGCACGTTCGTTTGGGCCAGCTAGGTCCAGGTGCAAGCTTGTACGTATTTACCCCAGCTTATATAGCTGGTATGCTGGAAATAACCGATGATGTCCTGGCTAAACTCCCAAAGGTTCATGATGTTTGATTTGCGCAGGCAAACAAAAGGAGATAGGTGACGTGCTATTTTGTCCAGACCCCTGTTTAGTACTCAATTAAAGGTAGGGACACTGTCTTTGTTTAAGGTTGTAAGACGCTTTCCTGCTTGCCTGGGGGTGGGGGTTTTGTGTCAGCTTTCGGCTCCGGGCCAAAGGAGGCTCCGGTTGAAATTCTCAGTTGCCGTCTAGGCTGACGAGTCATGCTTCTAGGGGTTGATTTTTTTAGAAAACACCCACAAAACACACCCACACACACACACAGACTCCTGGACTCTGAAGATGGGGGTCGTATTTCCAGGGGTTGATTCCATTTCCATTCTCTTCAAGCATCGTTCTTTGCAAAAACCAGATCCGTTTCCCCAGGGTTTTGGGTGTTTTGTTTTAGAAAGAAGGATGCCTGGAAAGAACACAGAGGAATATTATTTCTATCCCCAAAGACCTGGCTTTGATGAACATGAAGCCCAGAAAGCCACCATTCACAGAGGAAGCTCCTTGGGAGCTCCCCCTTTCAATAAACCAAGGGTTTTCCGCAGGCCGGCGCCTGTACCCAAGCTGTCCTTCATGGGCGTGCGCTCCAGCTTGCAGGCAGGGGAGAAGGCCTAAGGCAGGCGAGATGTGAGCGCCCGCAACCCCAAAACTCTGTTGCCCAGTGGTGCCCCTTTTTTCCTTTTTTGGGGTAATGGTTTCCTTTTGAAGTTAACCAACAAAAAACAGATGCCCTTTTTATCCCCATGGCCGCTGGGCATCTGAGAAAAGGGCCGTCTGAGTCGGTGGTTCTACTCGGGGTCGGGGTCACTCTTCGGGATACCTTCGATCTCGCTCGCGAAGGTGTGGAGTAGGTGGTTCTACCCCTGTGTTGTTGGCCTAGAAACCTGAAGAAGCATGTTGGTAGAACCACAAGTCAACAGATTTGGGAGCGCTGCTTCCGATAAACCGGCAAAGAATGATGGTGCTTCAGCAAATTGCATCAACACATCCACTGAACACCCAGAAATTGGGCTAATCTTCTGTACTGCCTTCTATGGTTCTAGGGCTTGTTTCTCAAAAAAGGGGAACCGCTGGCAAGTTTTGGTGCAGTTCACCGGTGCACGCAATCTTTCGCCTGTCAGGGCTCTGCTTTTATGGGCATGCCCCCTCCGGAGGAGCCAGGAGCGGAGGGGTGGAAAGTGGGGCATGACGGCACGGAGATACGCTTGAACGTATGGTTGACTACGGAGACAAATCTGGAGAGCCGTACTTTGCGGAGGTGGCCTCCCTTTTTTTTGGCAAGGGCATGATCTATTTGAGGGGGTTCTGCCCTTGTAAGTTCCTCCGGATTAATCCGAAGTTACTATTCGATGACACAGTTCACACATTTGATTTGGTCATCCCCTTTGCCCAAGAAGCTGCTTTCACCCTCGACGCCCTTGGATCCATCTATATAGCAGTATTGGGGGTCGAAAGAGCTGACTATGTAGGTCCTTTGGGCATGCTTTAGTTCAGTTTGTCGAAAGCTCACAAATAGAAAGTGGATCAATAAGGCGTCCCAAAGGGTGTCACCCGAAATAGTTGGACGCCTAAAGATCCCAAAGATGTATTCCAAAAAATTGGGGAGCGGGGGGGGGCTGGCGGTGGTGGGTGGGTGGGCTGGGTGGGTGGGTGGTGGTGGGTGGGGTGGTGCTGCGAAGGGTTTGCCGTTTACTTGTTGGACTTTGGCATCTGGATTTCAGTCAACGTTGACCTCTTTTATATCAGGAGGTCCGTTGATTTGCCCAAGAACTAAAGTAGGCCCCCCAGGATTGCTCTTTCTCACCCTTTTTTTGGGGGGAAGGGTTACCCTACTAAATTAGACTACCAAAAAAACATAAAATCGGGTACCCTTATTCTAGCCTCTCTACTGGAGGACCTAGTAAAGAACAATCATGAAGTCTGAGTTCAATGTGCATGGGGAGAGGAGCAGAACGGCGGGTTGGAATCAACAGGGCTGTGTCCTAAAGGAACACCCAGATGGGCGTGTTTAAGCTGTGGACATTCAATCCGGGTTATGGGAGGGGGGCCTATCCCTTATTCCCCTTCAGTGAGGCCTTATTAAGGGCTCAATCCTGGGCTTAATCCTGGGCTTAGGCTGGGCTTATGCAGGGATAGCCCCCTCCCATACCCCCCCCCCTCCCAGGAGTCCATGATTAAAGCAATGAGCTTATGTGGGTTCTGGTGTTTCTTGTTTAGGAGTTTGTACCCCCAAAATGGCTTTTGTTCTCCTTTTGATTTCTCAAAACCAACCAACCTGGGGTACTAACGCCAAGCAAGACCCACAGGCATAGGTATCTGGAGCCTTGGCTGGTCAAGAGACCCCTTGAGGTTAACAGGCATGGCCATTCACCGCGTAGCAAGGATCGGTTTGATTCCCCATTCTTTTCAACTGTCGTTCTCCATTTTCCCTGGGTTTCTGGGGGTGTTCTAGAAAGAAGGACCCCTGGACAAAATGGGGAAGGTACCCCTAGAACTAAGGGAACCCACGGCTCCGCAGCTGGATGAAGCCCCGGCAAAACTGAGAGAAACCTACCAACTGGTGCAGAACATTTTGGTCCGGCCACAGATGCTGTATGAAACCAGGTAGGAACCGAACCGAAAGGGTAATCAAAGGGAGTGGGTATGAGAAATTGAGGGACATCCTGGCCAAGGGGAAGCATCCTGTATGATACCGGGTATAGGAACCGAACCTACGAAAGTGGCCAAGAGGAATCGAAAGGGCAAAACATCATCCAGTCATCACATCGGCCGAGTCTCCGAGTCTGTGTGACGGGTACGGGCATCCGATCTGGGGGTGGGATTGCGGACTGAGAAGATTTCTCCCGAACGCGGAAAGGTTAGTAGAACCGTTCTGGAGGTTTTGAGAACCCTTCTTGAGCGGTTGCGGGCCTTGATCTCCTCCCGATACCAATGCCTGATTAATCAATCTGGTGGACCCGACAAGTGGTGGTACTTTCCAAAAAGATGAAGAATTCCCTCCAAAGTGGGACCCCAAGTTGATTAACCAG